ACATAAAAAAATTACAATAACACCCACAAGATCAAATTTCATCATTGTTTTGCCCATAATAGTTAATTCAGGAGACGGCATTTGATTATCTCAATATTTCACAATTACAATTACAATTAGCATCTATTACTAGAAGCCTTTTTAAGTTGGTAAGCTGCAACACTTTAAATAGTGCAAGGAAAATAATAGTACAACGTAGGACAAAAAGTTAGATTATCTGTATGTAGAAAAATCCGGGATGTAATTATGCAATATGTGGTAACACCAAGAAATTGGAAAAAGCACGACCACTGACCTGTCCATGAACTTGGCTGGTTACTGTTTTCCTTTTAGTTTTAGCTTGGTCCTCTACCCAATTCCGCTGATAAAATAATTAATTGAGACATAAGTCTGACAAACTTTCATCAGCTGGTTTGTAATCTCATATTAAGTATTTGATATCTTACAAAGCTCTCGGATTCGCAGGTAGCATTGTTCTTCTGAAGTTTTGCCATTGCCTTCATCCACTGCCTTTTTTTAGCCTTTCTCCTAGCACTTCGACTTGGATGCTGCAAATTCCAAGGTATTTTATACTAATTTTTCAGGGTGATTCATGAAGAATAGATCAAGATAGAAGAACAACAATATTAAGAAGTATTGTGCAAATTGAAACTCAGTAATGCCAACATATATCGTGGAAAATAATGATTCTCAAAAGGTCAATGATGTCAAATCATCCCGAATCAACCACCACATGACCAAGAATAGTTATTTGAAGTAAAATAAACAAGCACATGTATATCTAGTTTGTTCAGCAAAAGACAATAAAATGCAGAATTGAAAAGTTAGCTCTCATAATACACTATAACTTCGATCAGTATAGTCCGGTGTATGACCTTTTTTGTTTCTGTTCGGACAATTTCTCCATCCTCAACATCTTCCTCACTCTCCTGGATTTTATCATTTCTGCAGATAAAAGCATGAGAAAGATCTAAAAATATTATTAACTGGTGATTAAGTCCATCAACGAAGATATATCAAATATAAGTAAGTAATAAAACGGGGGAGAAAAAGAACAATAAGGTATCATACACATTCGTGATTGCAGCTTGCATAATCCTAACAGACACCGAACCTAATTATAGGTTCTCAAAATTTTAAGTACTTTAATATCCAAAGGTAGGCATGCTAACCCAATAACCTTTTAAGGCATCACCTTCTTGTTTCCTTTAAGCAAGTAAACTTAATGAGATTTAAAGGAATGGCTTAAATTACATTCTCATTAAACATTAGTTCCACAATATTGATAAGTAACTTTTATTTGTTTTGTATTATTATAAACTAAATATGCATCTTTTGGTTTTGAATTACTCAAATAATCTTCGTTTCATTTGATTAATATTAATCAAATATATTAAGTTTTATTTGATCAAAATAATAATAATTTCTCCAAGCCCTTATAAACTATTATTGAAATTCTTGTTCACTTTTCTAAATCCTCAACGACAACATATTCCAATTTCCATCATATTTCAAGTAATCATGAAGCATGGATCCTGTCCAACCAAGTAGAATTACTAAATTGTAAAAACATCTCAATGATTTGTGAAATTCGAAGGATGGAATGTCTCAATTCAAGTACCCATTGTGCTTCACTAAAGCCATCTTATTTCTTTAACACAGAAAATTATTTATGCTGATTTGTACTCCTAATCACTCATTAGTGAGTTGCAACAGTATCATGAATGAGAAATTACTGAGTTGGTATATTTAAAAGGGTAATGGTGAAATAAATCACAAGTTGGAAGCTCCAGATTAGTATTTTTCCATTAACTGACTCCATGACTAACTAAGTATCAGGTTCCCAGAAAAATAAATAAATAAATAAAAAATCTTTTGCAGTTAATACTTCAGCAATTCAGATATCNTAAAAAAAAAAAAAAAAGGCGGGAAGAAAGTATTCCAGAGAAAATATAACTTCCACATCAGCTCACCTTGTGATGCAAGGCACAGGACTGTGACTCTTGAGATTTAATTCAGCAGTTTCTTCATTTTTCTCCACATTATCTTCATCGCTGGACTCATCTTTTTTCTCCGCATGCGAAAGGCTATTCTTTCTTTCAAGGCTATTCTTTCCGACAATGTCTTCATCAAGAATAGGCTTCTCATTCTTTTCCTTGCGACCATCATCTGCTATATCTTCGGTAGCCTTAGCAAGCCGTTTTTTCTTTCTGACAAAAGATCAAAGAAAAGAGGATTTGAAATGATCATGAAAAGCACAGAATGAGAAAATAGAAATATAATGCAGCCTAGAGGAAAAATAGTGTAAGTTAAAGGGTGCAGCAACACATACTTTGAGCCTCCAAGTTTTTCTGGTGCTTTTCTTTTGCGGCTTTTTGAAACAGCCTTCGAACATGAAGGTTTCTCGACATCCTTCAACAGGCCTTCTTCATCATCATCTTCTGGATCATCACCCTCATAACCACCTTTTTCTTTTCCGAACTCATCATTCGCCAAAAGCAAGACAGCAGTACTCACAGGTTGCTTCTCCACGGTTTTCATCTTCTCCACATCATTAGCTACATTGTTTCCAACTATCGATAAAATGTCTCCTCTCTTTCGTACACTGACCCACAAACAAAAGTTCAAATTTCAGTTTAATCATTGCCGACATATATGTGCTAATGAAAAGACAAGTCCCTCTTGTGTTGTGTTTTAGTATGTATTGACTAACTAACCCGATAACTTCGTTATCTTTTATAATACGACTGGACTCAAATGGTGGTAGCACAAAGCCAGATATCTGTCAAAAAAACATTCAGAATTAAATAGAAATTCAAATTTAAAAAAAAAAAATTAAAATATCATCCAAATTCAGCAATTCCAGAATACAAAGTCTCAATGGAGTCAAAATCAAAATGCAAACTAACACATTATTCTGTTAGTAATATGGTAATAGGGGTAAGAGAAGTAACTTCACATAAGCTTCAAAAGCTTTGAATGTTCTTTACAGGTTTGTTAAATCTAGTCACAATTTTAAGCTAGTTATGACCACCGACTTGTCACCAGAAAAACGAGGAAAATAAACAAAAAACAACAAAAGGAAATATGTCTATCCAATAAATTGATAATGATAATGATGATGAAATTTCCGAAGTACATATCTGTCACTGACTAAAACCCAAGAACAGATAAAATGAACTCTAACTTAGGTCTCAAGATTTGAGGAAACAAGAATTCTTCCTAGATGCAATTCCACTGCACTTGCTCGAGAACGATCAAGATCAGTATACATACACTGAAGTTGAACTCTAAATCCATATCTTTTAAATCCACGTTGTATGGTAACTCAAAGAGAACTAAATCAAAGATATATCTAGTTGATACAAAAGGTTATCATAACTACGCCACAGCAAGCATGCATTGCCAAACAGAATTCAACAGGAAATCGACAAGAAGCAAGAGATTCACGAGCAAGAAGGAAATAATAAAAGTACAAGATGATACAGACTACAGCGCGGAACCCATTACAAAGTGCTGCATAAAATGCAAGAAAACGCAAAACATTCTAAAAATTCAGTAGAGAAAAAGCCATGGGTGACGTACAGAGAGGAGAAGACCATGAGGGCAGGTTTGGTGGAGTTGGAATGCGTGGAGAAGATGGGAAGCAATATCAGAAACGGTGTCGTGCTGCTGGGGTTTCAACAGAAACCAGCTGCGGTTCAGCCCATCCAATTTCTGCGTTTCGTTGAGAATACCATCATCCTTGAACACCAGCCGAATTCTCTTGAGATCCTCCATCGCCCATGCCACAAATTCGAATTCTCACTAACTATCGAGTGAGAGAGAGAGAGAGACAGAGAATGTGCCTGTAAGAAGTTGGCACTGAAGTCAAGTGGCAAAAGCGCTTCTTGTTTAACCCTCGTCGGACGGACGGAGGCGACAGGTGCATTCCCAAAACCTCGCTAATTAAATCTTATGGCCGTGTTTGATAAGGTAGATTAGATAGGATTAAGTGTCTAGTCGAGCCCTAATCAATCCTTTGTTTTCCAAGTTTGTGGCCTGTATGATTAGACAGAGCTCAGGATTAAAACAGCGCTATCTTGATATGGGGTATTATTTAATCCCATGGACACGTAATTCACCCAATCCCAACGGCATATATATTGTTAAAAATCCATTTTGCCCTGAAATTTTACGTTTGATTCTAAAATAGCCTCCACAGACCGAAGAATTACAAATTGCCAAGTATAAGACCAATCTTCCTCTTCGCCCTAGAAAGAGAGGAACTAGATCTGTGAGTAGGTTGTTCAAGTAACGAAATTCACTGCTTTCTTCTGCTACTTGACGGTACATGTGTTTTACAATACCGTTAGCAGGAATATGAGTCATGTTGTTATGGCATGATTGGTAGGAAGGAATGACATGAGAATGGAAAGATCATTCTCTTACTCATTCCTTATACCATGATTGGTATAATTTTTAAAAAGGAATGACCATTCCAATGGGAATGACAAAACTCATCTTTATGGGATTAGCCATTTCATAGAAAATAGAAGGTTTTCTCATTCTCATGTGTGTATAAATCAATTTCTAAAAATAAAATTAACTAATAATAATACAATATTATATATATTATAAATCATGATTAAAGTATATTAAATAAAATTCATATAAAAAATTAAAAACTTACTGTTATTTATTTTTTAATTAGATATATTAAATATTTATATAAAAATAAAACTAAAAAAAAGCATTTACATAAAATTTAACAATATATTATTTTGTTTTTATATATTATAAAAAATATGTTATTTTATATATTTAAAAAATATAATACTTTTTAAAATATATTGATAAAAAATGTTAAAAATATATATTATTCAAAATATATTACTTTTTATTTTTAAATATTATTAAAAAATATATTATTTTAAAAAATAAAATTCAAATAAAAAATTGAAAACTTAATTTTATTTATTTTTTAATTAAAAAATAAAATATGTATTATTAAAAATATATTACTTTTTATTTTTATATATTATTAAAAATATATTATTTTTTATATATTAAAAATATAAACTTTTCAGAATATGTTATTTTTTATATTATTAAAAATATATTATTTTATTATTATATATAATTAAAAATATATTATATTTTATATTGTTAAAATATATTATTTTATTTTAGTATATTATTAAAAAATCATTTATATATAATTTATTAAAAATATATTATTTTTAAAAAAAAACTTTTATTTATTTTTATAATAAGAAATGATAATGTCATTCCATTCAAGTCATATTCCTTCCGCATACCAACCGCATCAATGACAAAACTTGTTTCATTTCATTCTCATAATCATTCCATTCCTACGAAATTTCATTCCATTATACCAATCATGCCATTATTGTTTTTGCCTACTCTTTTTCCCATTGTTTGAGCACAGGTTGTTCGTAATACCCTAATTTCTCAATTTTTGGGCTACAGTCATATTACTTTGATCGTGTACTTTGCGAGGCACGGAGTTTTGTGATTCCTTTTATCGTCATCCTCGTTCATCACTGGTAATTCAAACAAGTAACGAATTTTTTTTTTTCCGTAAAAGCCATTAAATTCCGGCTATTAGACCATTGTGGGTCTGTTTGGAATAGTCATGAATTAGCCTACGCTTTGGGTTTATTTGTAATTGAAAGTGAGATTTCTATATATATGTTGTTGGTGTTTGAACTGCTGATGTTCTTATTTTGGACACTGTTGTTTGGATAATGCACCAAAATGTAATAATTGCAGGTTTGGTCAGATGATTAAGTTGATATGTTGTTTGATGAAGAATAAGAAATTACACAACGATAATATTTAGTTCAGTTATCATCAGTTACTTTGATTCCTCTACATTTGCACTTTTTTTAGAATCGAATTGTATAAAAGGTGTTTGCATTTTACTTCATCTCTTACATGGAGAAATACATATTTTTGTTTACATCATCAACTTAAGCATGGACATAAGTTCTAAAGAGGCGGTAGTACTGTTGCTTGTTGAAGAGATAATTAATCTACGTAATTTGGTTTTTATCATTGCCTACCTTTACATTAAGTTGGTTTTTCAACCTAGACAATATCGTATGTCAGACCGTCTACCCTCTCAAATTCAACACATGAAAGTGATAGTAGAAATAAAGTGACATGACATGCATTAAACAACTTCGCATGGATCGAAATAGCTTTGCCCGGTTATGCTACTTATTCGAACATATTGGTGGGCTCCAGAACACCAGAAATATACAAATAACTGAGCAAGTAACAATGTTTCTTAGTGTGCTAGCTCACCGTAGAAAAAACCGTGTAGTGAAATTTGATTTTAAAAGATCCGGTCAAACAATAAGCAAATTCTTCCACAATGTACTACGTGTCGTCTTACGTTTGCAACCCATCGTCATTGTCCAAAGTACTGTTGTAACCGACTCATGCACCGATTGGAGATGGAGATGATTTAAGGTGAGGTGATCAATAGCCGCAATTTTTTGATACAAAAATTCTATTACCATAACTAAAGTTTAGAAGTTGTTCTTGTTTTGTATTAAATCACAGAGATGCTTAGGAGCCTTAGATAGAACCTATATTCCCGTGCGTGTCCCTGCACGCCTACACCCACGATATCGAAGCAGAAAAGGTTTTATATATGTGAATGTGCTTGGTGTGTGCATGCAAGAAATGAATTTTTCGTATGTATTGACCGGTTGGGAAAGTTCTGCGGCTGACAGTAGGGTTTTACGAGACACCGTTCACCGACCAGGAGGCCATCGTGTACCATCTGGTTAGTGTAACATAAAGTAATGTAAATATGCAAATATTTCTTACTTTTCCAATGTTGTCAATATTAACATTTCTTTACAGTAATCTAAATTTATTTTACTTTTTTTCTATCTCACATATAGTTCCCATATACAGGGAACTATGCGGTATCATTTGGATGAGTTTGGTGAAGGTAAACTAGTGCCAACAAACCATAGAGAGCTGTTTAACTTAAGACATGCCACAACGGAAATGTAATTGAGCGAGCTTTTGGAGTACTGAAGTTGCCCTGGGTTGTCCTTAGAAGCAACAGTTATTTCGGCATAGGCACTCAAAACAAAATTATGCTTTTATGTTGCATTCTTCAAAATTTCATTTGTGCTACCATGCATGTGGACCCAATGAAAAATGAGGGGGACAACATGATGAATTGGCAGACAAACCCCGAGGCCCATGACCCCTTCGACTCTGTAGACGTTGTTGAGCCAACCACCGAATGGACAAATATGCGCGCTTTAGCTATGTCAATGTTTAATGAATGGGATGGGCGAAGTTGAAGAATGAAGCAACCAGTGTTCGCAATAGGAACTAAACTCTTC